GAAATTAGGATGATTTCTCTAACTTAGATTGGAGGTTGGAGAAAATGGATCATTCATTGGATGTTAGAATGCAGCGTTCATCTGTTCTAATGAATGGGTATTTCTTAGGAGAGGGCATTCCTCTGAAACATGGGCAGGAGATTGATAGTTATGACAACCTGGGGTAGAAACTTGATTAATTTGGGCTGGAGCTAGTTCCTTAATTTCTATGGCTTCTAACCTTCGCAGAATTATCGCCATCTTTACTTTGGAGGCAATGTTCGACTCTAAAGAAAGACCACTAGACTTAGGTTGGGAAACTGACGAAACCTTATCATCACAATGTTCCCACTGCATGGTTTTTTCAGACAGACTCTCTAAAAACTCCCAAGCTTCATCAGCATTTTTCTTCATGAATTCCTCTTGGCACATCGATTCTAAGGAAGTCTTTGAAGAATAATCCAATCCTTCGTAGATGATTTAGCATAATCGTCATTTTTCTAGACCGTGATGAGGACATTGGACGAGAAGATCTTTAAACCTATCAAAATACTTCCAGAATGGCTCCCCTGTGACAATTTTAAAATTTTGATTGCTATTTCTAAGCTTAACCATTTTATGAATTGGGAAAATTTTCTTGAGAAAAACGGTGATAAATTCCTCCCAAGTTATGATGGAATTTATGAGTAAGCTGTATAGCCATTTTTTTGCTTTGTCTTTGAGGGTAAAAGGAATAAATCTGAGTTTGACTGCATCTTCAGTTAATTCTCTCATTTTAATCATCATACATACTTCCTCAAATTCTGAGATAAAAATATATACATCTTCAGTTTCATTCCCTAGAAATTTTGATCATACATACTTCCTCAAATTCTGAGATAAAAATATATACATCTTCAGTTTCATTCCCTAGAAATTTTGGAAGCATGTTGATATAGTACGGTCGAAGCTCAAAGTTAGTTCTATTTGCCTCGGGGAGCCTAATGCAAGAGGGAATTGTATTCCTAGTGGGATAGCACATATCTTGAAGAACGGGTGGATTAGGATACGCTATTTCTATGATTGGTTCCATATCTTGAAGAACGGGTGGATTAGGATACGCTATTTCTATGATTGGTTCAAAGCGAATTAATCGATGTGTATTATCCCTAATCCATAGGATACGCTATTTCTATGATTGGTTCAAAGCGAATTAATCGATGTGTATTATCCCTAATCCACGTTCACATACATCAAAACAAATTCTTTTTATAATTTTTTTAAGGGAAAAAATTAGTTGTTTTAGATTATGAGAAGAAGAAGAAAAAAATAAAGGAAAATCCTAACTAAAACAAATAAAAAACAATCACTTTTAAATCACTTTTCAATCACACTTTTAGATTAAAGTTTTACTCGGGTAGTTAGCCAGGTAAGGATAGTACTAGAGGGTGACCAGAGATCAATTAAGTACCTCGTTCCTTGTGGAGCGCTTTACGCAACCCTTAAACATTGCCTTAGACACCAACTAATCCAAGTAAACTTGAACCAGTTTAGTTAGGGATTTTTATTCCTTATTGAGCTTGAGTCCTTAGTAGCCAACGTCTAATGAGTTTTAAGAAGGCTTAGGTTTGTGTAGTGAGGAATTAATGATTTGTGGGCTAAGAAAAAGGTGATGAAATCCCTCACCTTATCTTGATTATGGGGTTTTTTCCTTAAAAATATTTTTAAGTATGTGCCAAATCAAGATGCTCAAATCACTTTGGTGAATTCCTACTAACTATATGCAAAATATTTTTAAGTATGTGCCAAATCAAGATGCTCAAATCACTTTGGTGAATTCCTACTAACTATATGCAATGCAACCCTATGAACTCAAATCACTTTGGTGAATTCCTACTAACTATATGCAATGCAACCCTATGAATTAAAAGCGACTAAAAGGATGGTAAAAAGAATTTTTTTTTATTAGGGTTAACAATCAAACAACTATGAGAATGGGGAATATTATTTGAATTTATTATTTTTTTAGTAAATGTCCAAGTGGAGGGTGGATTTTATTAGGGTTGACAAAAATAAAATCTTTTTTTTAGTCCTAATCGTCTCTAATTATGAAGAAGTAGCTAAAGGGTGGAATTGAAAATTCTAGAAAGAAGAGTTATCCAAAAGCAATTCTTCAAGTTCTTGATCTCTAATCCAAGATTTTTAAGCTCCAAGCAGTTCCTTCACAAGAAAACACACAAGTTAAAGAACCAAAATAATAAAATCCTACTTAGCACATTCCCCGGAAACGACGCCAAAAACTTGATACGACATAAACATATACCAAAAATTATAAGTGCACAATTAATCAAGTTATAATATAAAAAATTATCGATCCCACGAGGAAGGTGTTTGTAGCAAATTATTAGAATCGGTTCGTATGTTGTGTGCGTGACAAATAGGAGTGATGATAGATGTGATTTTGGAGGGATGAAGAGAATGAGAATGATTGTGTGTAAAAAAATTATATTGAGAGTAATAGATAAAGAATAAATAAAATCACAAGGAAAGAAAAGAAAATGAAGGAAATAAAAATCAAGAAAATAAAAGAAAATAAAAAATAAAGAAAGAAAAGAACGATGGTTCAATTAAAGATATGAGGAATCTAGAATTAAACCCACCTCAAAAGAAAAGGCAATTCCCTAGAGGGTTCTAGCCTCAAGGCGCATCAAAGAATATGAAAATAAAGGAAAATAAAAACTAATCCCAAGAGGGCTCTAGCCTCAAAGTGAATAGTGCAAGAAAATAAAATATAACTATAAAATAAATTACAAAAACTAAACTACAAAATAAATTATAAGAATTAAATGTAAAAAAATAAATCTACTCTATAAGCATAAAATAAATCTACTCTATAAGAGCATGAAATAAATCTAAGGCAAGAGGGTTCTAGCCTCTTGGCTATTTAAGCGAGAAAATAAAAAGATAAAAATATTAACAAAGAGGAAATTTACCACCCAAGAGGGTTCTAGCCTCAAGATGAAAGCAAACCTCACTCTTGATCTTCATCTTCATCTTCATAATCAAACAAAAAGAAGATAAGAAAAATATGAAGAGGTGAAAAAATTCTTTTATTGTTGTAACGAAAAGTTACAAAATTCGAAGGTCTTCTCAATTAAAGAGTAACTCTCCTCTCCAAATGGAGTTACAAAATTTTTCACACCCTCAACCCCTCACTCTCTACCCCTACTTATAGTAAACATCAATGAATGTGAGCCATTGGATTGAAATCTTATCCAAAACCATCAAAAATCAGCCCTTAATTCGTAACAGAATTGTCAGTATCGATGCTGGCATCGATCCCGGCATCGATACTAACATCGATGTCCTATAAAAATTCTGCCTTCACGGATGGCTTCGTCTCGTCGAGATAGGTGATTTTCATATATTATATGTTAAATTCCGTCTTCCAGATTGAGAGATATTATCGTTTCTTTGCGGCCAACCATCTTGAATGCATTTTTTCATATTTAATTTTTTTTTCTCCGGCTTCTACAGGCTACTCGGCTTGATTCTGGGCTTAGGTTTTTTGGTTCTTGCTTGTGTTCTTTATTTAATTCATGGATTTTTATTGAGAGATGAGATCTTGGATTTTATTCTTGATTAACCTGCAAATAAAGATAAAAAATTATTAGTGGTATATTAATTCATTAAAAATAGATAATGAGAGTATAAAATTATAATAAAATGTGATTATCAGGCACATTCCGCTAGAGGGTTCATTTGACAGGTTTTAGATAGGTCAAATCCCCAACATACATGACATAAGGGATTGTTTACACTGCAATCTTCCGAATGTAGATTGGACACTAAGGTTTTATAAGATAAACTCATCGTGGTTAGGTGAGAGCATGGGGGTCTGCGCCTTATATAGGTGTGGCCAAAACTCCACAGGACTTCAACTCCCGTGTAGTTGTAGTGAACAATTTTCCAAAGAGTTGGCTCACTGGAAATTCGCCTGTAACTTCACGGGACTTATAGTCCCATGGTGTTTTGGAAAGTATAACAGACTTCACGGGACTTCAAGTCCCGTGAAGTTTAGTAGGTTGGTTAAATACCTGCTAAACCTCACGGGACTTGAAGTCCCGTGAAGTTTATGAAGTTTTTTATAAAAAACGATCTGGTTTCAGCGCTGAGGCTGAAACCAGGTCGATTTTTGAAAATAAATGTGAAATGAGTTGGTTTTTGGGATTAAATGTCCAAATAGGACCCTTTTGAAAATTTGTCCTAAATTTTAGGTAGGGCATCATTTCAAAGACATGCTTACTTTATTTAGAAAATGTAATGTTTTATTCACGTGCACCAAACTATTAAATCAGAACACAATCCTAAATCCGACAATAATGAAATCAATAAAGTAGCAACAAAAATTACCAAATTAAGCGAAGTTATCAAAAATCTTACGGTGACAACTGCGGTGATGACGAGGACGAAGAGGGCACCGACAAAACCCTAGCCGATCTCTCGATCGGGATCGACCCGGCCGATCTCAGCCTTTGGAATCCATACCTGAGAATCTAGACCTTCGGATCCTTCATCGTTCCAATCATCGACATCGTCGTCACAGCTATCGTCACCACCGCTATCTAGGGTTTAAGCGAGAGCGATGCAATCCGAGATCGACGTCGAACTAGGGTTTAGGCAAAGTTAAACTAGGCTTTTGGAGACAGAGAGAGGAGAGAATGAGGGGGAGGGGAGAGAGAGAGAGAGAGAGACAGAGAGAGAAAGAGAGGAGATAG